TGTAATTTATATTTATTGTGAATTATTATTAGTTGGTATTAGCAATAACTATTATAATAGAAACACACATGATTACACTCATTAAGATGTATTAATGTGAGAAGTAAAAAATATTAATGACAAATTTGTAACCGAAAATGGAGGGAAAATTTTAGAGGTTTTATTAAATAGGTTTTATTAAATGCTACATGCTAGCAATTATATATATATAGATACTGAGAACAATAAAATATTTATTCGTTCAATAATATTCAGAATTCAATAATCCGATGAATATGTTAATTCAACGAAAAATCGACAATTATACCAGACACTATTATAAAGGAAAAAAAAAAAATGCTACGGTCCCGTTATGATTTATTTCTTCAGCGTTTATAACCGTTAGATCATCATGTAACCGTAAGGATAGTTGATTTAACAGTTACAAGTCCCGACGAAATAGTTCCTTAACGAGATCGTAGCATTTCTTATAAAATAATAGTAAAAATTGATGAAAAAGACGAAAAAACAGCATCACGTGTCACAAAACCGTGTCACAACAGCTGATTATACCCTCCACGTAACCATGCCTCATTTTATTTATTCCTAATAATATATTTTTTTTTAAAAAAAAAAAAAATTAATTCCAGTTTTTGATTTACAGGCGTCCCCCGGCACTGTTTTGGTTGGATGCGAGTCAGTGCTCGCCAGCTTTTCTCGACAGATCCCAATAATATTTATACCCTACAAATGCATATTCCTTTATTCTGAATTATTATTATTATTTTTATAACAATCGTCCATTTTCATCGCCCCTCTGGAGCAGCCTCTTTGAGAAGAAGAAGAAGAGCCATGAGTCTGTTCGGCCTCGGCAGGTGAATCTTTTTTATCTCCTTTTTACTTTGTTCGAAAGTTCTGTTGAATTTGATCGTGATTTCTTGTTTTTGTGATTGGTACGCATCAGATCTATTGTGGGTTTTGTATTTTTTTTTTTTTTGATTCATTTTTTAGGTTGATTTGATTTTGTCGTGTGTTGCTTCTCTTATTTTGTGGGTTTTTTTTTTTGGATTATTGCTGGTATATGTGGGGTAAAGGTCGATGCTTTTGCGGGTTTCGATTGAATTAATCACGAAAAAGGAAAGGATGAATTTGACCTCACTAGATGAAAATCCTTGATTGCGAGCAAGGTGTATGATGAAATTATTTACAATGATTAGGGAAAAAAAAAAGAAGGAGAAAAGTTGAATATTTTTTACAGGGCTGAAGCTAGCTTGCCGACTAGTTACTGTTTAGCATGTCGATGAGGAATATATTTGGAGTCTGTAGTTTGAATGAACTGTAAATTTCAAGATTGATGTGTGTTTGTGAAGAAGGGTGGCTTGGCTTCAATTGTAATTATAGGTTCGGTAAAAGCCAAATTGATTTGCTGCCTTAATGATTGTGAATAATCCTTCTCATGGTGGGTTGATAAAATAAAAAGATAGTTAATGAACATATAACTTTTCTGATATGTC